ATAGATACCACCTCCCAGTATTTCCCATTCTGAGTGCCATTTTGGATTGTAGTAGGTGTACATTAAAATTTAATATCTACAGTACTTTACACAGCTGTTCACATTTTAATAAAAGAAGAATGATTTATTATTCCTGCGACAGTCCCAGTATTGTCACTTTATTTCCATGCACTCCAGTTAGATTTGGACTCGAGGGTTCCATGAGCGAGTTCACATATAAATTTGATTTTTTTTTTTTTTGGACTGTTTTCCTTTATTCAACAGAAACAGGTATCAGAAATCAGGGAGGGATATTGGAAATTAATTATGTTCTAAATGGCTATAGAGCAGCACAATGAAATCCCTATCAAATTGAAATTGCAATTTGAGTAGGTGGAATTGTCAAATCACAAAAACTACAATTATTTAGAGACTAGAACATCCACTGTAAATAACAAAATATCCTAACCTAAAAGCTAACGTTGTTTATAGAACTACCAAAATGTTCGTAGATTCATGCAATTCTTTAATTACTCAAGTAGGTCATGTTTTAGCCTTTGCTCAGATGTTTATACTCTTGGACAAACTGAAATGAACACTATGAACAGAATCTTACTTCTTTTATACACAAATCTCAAAACAAAAAATCAGAAATTGGACATTTTCCCAAAATTGTGCGGTCCTGGTAATCAACATTCATTGTACATCACTGTGATCACTGAATAGAGCTGATGGAGCCTATAGCTGGAGCTGACTATTATTCTTACAAAATGCAGAGGTTTGACTCTTTTCTTTCCCCAACATATCGTCTGCCTTAACTATCTTCTTTACCTTTCTCCTTGCCATGAGATAATGCCATAGACTTCCCTGTTATGTATTGTAGAAAATGAATGATGGTTGCTGTTCTTGCTTAATATGCATTCCCCACCACCACATAATAGTCTTTTGTAGGAAGAATAAAAGAAATGCCTTCAAAAGAGAGACAGCATTTTTAAATTATTCCCGCCCTAATACGCTAAAAGTGATATATAATTCTCACTCTTTCATTAGAAACAAAATTGATAATGATTAAAGAGCTGTACGTTTTTCCATAGCTGCCCCTGCTCCACAGTTTGCGGTGAAATATTGCCGAGGAGAAAAAAGTTGTATTGAGTTTGCGTTTACATGTGTGTACGGGGAGATGACGTTGAAAAATATCCCACACACACTCGCTAGCACACAAATAATTTAGCTACGTCTTTGGCAAAAACATCCTCTTGATGCATATAGGGCATAAATATGGATTGCATGTTGTAGTCACATAACTCCACTGCTTCTCCTGTGTGAGCATTTGAGTGGCTAGTCTCCCAGGGGACTGCGCTGACCTCCTCACTGGTCACCCCGCGTGTGCCATCGGGTCGAAAGCCAAAGGTCAAAGGTCATGGCTGGTCGCAAGATCAAACAAGCAATGAGGTCTCCAGACAAGTTCATGATTATGTGATGCTTATGGGAACCTAAATTGTGTTTGCCAAATGCATTATTGTTGAAAATGAGTTCATGGTTAGAGCTATCTGGTAGAAATGTGTTTATGTGCGTATAAATAATGAAATAATGTATGCCCCAGGTTAACAAAATTGTCCATAACATAAAGTGCATTTCTTATTAATATGGCGTCAGTACTTAGATCTTGATTCTGTATTTTTTTGTCTCTTTCCAATCCTTAGTTGGCATGCACCGAGATTTCATTTTAAACCAGATGCCCTTACTGATAAACCCCATATTGGGGCTTAAAACTAGCAAAAAGACAAAATGGTTTGTATTTTTATTATTATTATTATTATTTTTTTTTAAGGTTTTCTTTTTTGGCAGTGCTGTCAAAAGAAAAGCATCATATTTCCAAAAAAAGTGCACTGAAATCAAAGTATTTGTCTTCAATACTAAATTCTTATCTAAAGCCAATTTCAGCTTTTTTGAACATTTACTTATTATGCTCTCTTTTCCGATGATAACACACACACACACACATGCATTTCTTATTTATTAAAGATATTGTTGACATATTTAAACTCACAATACCCCCTAATTGAACCAAAATGTCTTCCTGCATCTAGAATAATGTCGACAATTTGCGGCGTTCCTTTCAATCAGGCTTACATTTCCTGTGAGCGGCGGTGATATGCCTGGTGTTAATTAGGAACATAGGGTGCCTTTAAATCAATGTATATGAGAACCGTGGGGCTGAAGGGCTGTGCGAATGCTATGTGCATCATCAGCCTAATATAATATAATGCCATAAATGAAGTCTTCCAGACCTGAGGCACGCTAAACAATAAGATCCCTCCGCGACATGATACCAACCATGTTTGTTTGAGAAGCACAAAGGAAGCAATTACAGTATAGGCCTATGTTGGTTACAGCTTTAATTCTATCTTTTACAAAAGCAAGCACAACGAAATAAAGAGAGAGTGATGTATACTAGTAGGCTACAGATCTTGAGTCACAGTTCAAACATCTTTTTTTGTTAAGACATTTTTAGTAAGCTCAAAATTCGTATTATTTTTAAGGTGTTCTGTTACATGGAAGAAAAGGACAAGGGCAAATGGTTTAAAAAAGGACACATAAAATCTACTTGAGCTTTTAAACATGGTGTATAGATGAAGGTCTCAGTTTTTCAGTTTTGAAAGGATATCAATTATTCTGTTTACTATTACGCTGTTTAAAATCAGTATTACAGTTTACAATAGGCAACATTATAGCTCAGTACTAAATACCCCCCAGAAAGCTGAATATGTTCTTTAAAGTGGATCCTTCATTATTGTGACATGCAGTACATTTGAAAGAACATTTGCCCTTGCACTTATTCAAAGGCAGTCACAATGGTATAGCATTGGATTTCAGTCCTGTACTATTTTGTGTATTTTTAAAATGTATGTATTTCTGAACAGGCTTCATGTTCAAGATTACTTTATATGTAACCATAAGTAGATTTGTTTGGCAATGAAATCAGATATCGCACCAAGAGTAGGCCTATTGTACAACTATGTCCTAATTTCAGCATTTACACTGCCTAGGCTCTTCATTTCTTTTTTACCATTATCTTCAAACTGATCAAATGTTTTATTGTCATAGGCTACGACTTCCTTTGTCTCAGTTCAGAGCTCTATGCACATAGTGGCAAAAGTGTCAGCAATTCCAAGATGAAAAATGGATGAAGACAATGGCGCATTTCTCACAATTTCTCTAATAATCTGTCAGTCAAACTGTACCCGTGAATGACGCTAATGTCATGTGATGCAGCATTCCATATGAAAAGATCTCATTGATGCCTCTGCCTTGTGCCTTGGCTCAATCCGGGCCCATCCTACCCCTCTTATTATCACCATCATCAGACCCACATGAAAGGCGTAGAAACAAGTGGTGCACCATTGCCAAGGAAAGAAAGAAAAAAAAACCTTGATCTTTTGGGGGGAGCATTTGCATTCACCACCCTGTTCCGCTGCTATGGGTGTATGAAGTGTTAGGCAAGAGCGCTCTGATTGGATGCCACAGAAAAAGCATGGCATTCTGCTAAAGCGAGCAACAAGCAGAAGCAGCCCCTCCCCCTTCACTGTGGTGTCGTGGCTCTTCAGCAGCACTAGAGGGCAGTCTGTTCTGTTGTTGGGAGGCAAGTGTTGACATGAATGTAATAAGAGAGAACAACAAGTGTAGATTCTGTTAATTTGCACAGAAACCCTAAAATGATGTGATGCTCTAGTAATTCAGATTTGTGACATTGTTTCAGGAATACGCTGCACAATTCTAAAGCAGATTTTTTGGAAAGATTTTGAACAAAGACGTGAATATAGATTGATACGCAAACTTGTAGACCTCTGACAAGGCAGTGGTTCAGGCTTGCAACACAGCAATGGAAAGAATCAACTAAAATGTGTTCTGAAAGCACAGCAGTATTGGTGGTCTTGTGTACAAATTGTTGTGATCTGGCTGGTACCACAAGCTGTTGCAAGATCGAATTGAAAAAATTGTGCACTTATGAGAAAAAATATCTTGTGAAATTTTTTTCCCCCATATGTTTGCATTTGGATTGGATAAAAAAGGTTAAACGCTTCTGATTTAACATTTTCAGAAGTTGTATCTCAAAAAAGCAGTGCTACAACATTGCAAATGTTTTCAGTAAAATAACAAAATTATAAATGGAATCACTAAATGTATCTATAAAATTATGTCACAGTTTTGTCTTATCTCATGGACCCAGTCTCGTGTCTTGTCTTGTCTTGTAGGAATTCAAGTTTTCATGTATAAATTGTGTAGATTCACCATTAATATAGAAACAGGTATTTGTGGCTAAAGCTGTTGCTGTTATATGATATACCAGCCACATTGAGATTTTTCAGTGTCATTCAAAAATACATTCCGGTACATTGTGGATAAATACATAGATGTAATTCTAGAAATGCTGATAATTGTTGCTTTGATCATTTGAAGCTCTGACAGTTTTGGTTCATTTGAATGTGAATACTAAGGGACCAGGGCACATAACAGAGGAGCTAATTAAAGCGGTCTACAACAATGAAGCCTGAACCCCAGAGGAACAATGAGGAATTAATGTAAAAGTAGTGATTACCACAAGGGCACTCAGCCATTTCATATTCCTGCTTTTACTACCTGGACCTCAATCACCAACGCTGACCGCATTTAAATCTGCCCTGATTGGTCAGAGGAGAGTTACTACTTTAGCAAGATTGTATGTATAATTTTGGTACAGTGTATTGTTTTGAATTGTTTTCAGTGTACACAGAAACTGATCTAATATTATTTCCATTTATCCATTCATATCATTGTTAAGATTCTGTCGTTTATATCAATCTGCACTATGTCAGAACAGTGATCAAAAATATATTTTCACTTACCAAAAGACAAAGGTTTAATAAAAAGTCTTTTATTCTTTTTTGAGATCCTCAAAGCTGTCAAATGACATACAGCAGAAATGAGACACACATTATCGTAGATTAACAATATGTTTCTTTTTTTCTTTTTCTTTTTAGGTCATCTGCCAACTACAAGGTCAGGTGACTGGAGAAGCAGCGCGGTCGATGGAGAATGGTCTCTTTGCTCTACAAGGTCTTCCACATCTTCAGGCTGCTTTTGGGATGCAACGACTGAGAGAGAGAGGGGGAGGAGGAGGAGGAAGGGAGGGTCCACGGACTGGTCTAGGGCAAGTGAATAGGGCCCACTTGAAGGATATAATAGGGGCTCTCTATTGGTTTGTTTTGGAAGCTGTCTTATTGATCTGTCTACCTTAGAAGTGAATGCACTGGCCGAATTTCCTAACAATGACACTCAAGGCCTGTATTAACTGGCCTATTTGTTGTGTATTAACTGGAGAGTTCGTTGTTACTGTACTCTTTCTCCAATAGCTATTATCCATCCCTATAGATCGACAATCCCAATCAATGCCAGGTAGATGAGCAGCCATATTTTTTTTCTTTGATGCCAAAACATATCACTCCAAGTGCTCTCAAGTATAGGTTAGAGGATATGATATGAATTATTTTTAGACCGTGAAGTAACTGCATTTAGCTGAAAAAAGGCTTTCCACATTAGATTGGACTTTTTTTTTTGTTCCAATAGTTTTTTTCTTAATAGGATAGCTGCAGTGGTGTAGTATGCACGCACCTAAGAAGAGTTTTATTGGCTCAAATAATACTATTGTTTTCTGAAGGTGAGACACTACACTCATTTCTTGCTCCGGTCATAGTAATGCTGCTGATTGTGGCTGAAAGCACATCCAACTTAAACACATTGTAAGTATGGCAACTATCAAAATAAAACTTACTGAATAGTTGCTTCTAGCACTGATAAATACATACGCTTCATTTTTGCTTTTTATTCATTAATATTTTGTAATAAATTCCTGCCTACTCAATCAACCCAAACAAATCCATCCGTATTGACTGGCCAAAATACTGTTGCTCCACACCTTTTGCCTGGGTCTACTAAGAATATAGGCAACTCTGAGTGAATGAAAATAAATAGCTATTGGCAATGGCTCAAGTATTTAACAAAGCTTTTTCAGACTTACTTTTTTGAAAAACATACTGAATGGAAATTTCCGTGTCAAGGCTAAAACACACAAATAGATGTGTACACTGTGTATTTAAATGCACTCACAATATAATTTGAATGTGGAAGAATATGTAAAAGGAAATGTTTTGGTTTGTAAGGTATTCTGGGAAAACATTTTTGAAATTCACCTTTGACCTTACTGGAGTGTGTGTAAATTAACATTCCAGACAACTTTTTTTTATTTTTTTTTTTATTTTACCATGAACACAGAATGTGCCTTTGTAGAATCACAACTTCATTCAACAGAAGTGAGGTTAAACATCTGGACTTTGGTTATTAGATCAAGTGGTTAAGTTTTATCAATTTACCAGCTGAACTTGGATGTCATCACAACTATATTACATTATTAAACATTTTCAACTACAACACTACTTAACAATGTTTACATGTTCCTTCTTAAAAGCAACTATCATACAAAGTTTGATTCTGTAGAAAAATTTTGTTTTGAAATTAATTCATATTTATATTAATTTATTCCTGTGTCCATACATTTGTCATGTGTTGGAGCCAATACAAATTCAGCAGTACAATTTCAATAAGTATGTCTCACACACAATTATGTTGTTCTGTCAATAAAATATGCTTTAATGATCTATGTTGGATTTTAGATTGTGTAATTATAGTATATATATTGGTTTATACACTTCCCACATCCCAGGTCAAGTTCTTATTCTTTAATCTTCCTGTCTACTGGACACTAACAGTTGCTTCACAGTTGACCTTGGATTTAAAAAAAATATCAGTCAAAACTGTATTTTAAAACACAATTTATTTAAAAGTCTAAAACAGAAATAAATAAATGAGAACAGTGTGTTACTTCATGAAATCAACAATGAACAAAAACACTTTGTGGTCATGAACGGAGCTACGCCCAGCTAGGCCATTAAATGCAAAGTATGCCAGCTACTTCTCGACTAGGCATTCCAATAATTTAAACAAGTTAATCAGAAAAGGATCTGTAACAAATGATTAAGGTCAACAAAAACATCAAAATTCATTAGAAACTTCAAAAATCATTAGAAAAGCTTTCATGCCCCCCATGTTCCAATAAGGATTCCCAAGAACACATTTAGCAGGTAGTAGACGAGAGTTGCAAGTGCGGGTTTAAATCAATGCACTGAACATAACTAAGAATCTGAAAAAAATTGATTGAATTAATACATTCATTATGTGCATATTTCCCAGATGTACAAACAAGATAAAACTTAGAAACCTGATACAGTGCTGCTTTACTGGTTTGATACAAGTCATCAATGAACTGCTAACATCTGATGAATGTTGTCACTGACTGAAAACTGTCAGATATAAAAAGTGTGACCTATGCGTGAAGAGGGCTACAACTAAACAACTAAAAGATTAAATTATTAACCTGTAACTATCCAAGGAATTGGTCATTTGATTTTGGATGTACAAAAATATATCTATGCTTGAACATCCTCTTCTAGTTTGGCGTGTGCAGTCTTACAATAGTTCACTGCAACTTTTCTTAGAACAGTTGATGTGAAGTAAAGGCTAATATTTGAGGTTTATGTTGTATTTCAAATTACCAAAGACAAAAATTATGGTTTAGTTAACTTGGGTCACAACATCAGATCAGTTCATTGCATATCGGCCATGTACAGGTGGTCTTAACATTTAGCCTGATTCATGCATACTCAGTTTATGGTCTTACATTCTTCACTTGAGCAGACACTGGACTTTCTGTGCATACTGCATAACAGAAAATTAAACATTAAAAAAACAAAGACAACAGTTAAAATCCAGACAAACATCCACACTTGGCACTGTTTGAAAATCATAAGAAAACATAAATTGAAACATCTGCTGTAAAAAGCAACTTCTGGGTCAAAATAAAAAGGTGTTAGCTTAACAACATGTCTGACATCTAAACACTGCTAACCGTTTTAATCAAGAGTTTAAATCCTCCGCTAAGTATGTTCCAAATGGCTCAGGTAAATCTGCACATACAATTGCAAAAATCTATAAGAACACAATATATGGCAATAATCAGTCACTCTCTGGAGGCTGTTTACTGTAATGGGAGTCCATTTGCTGACCACATAAGTGATTCATAAACACACATTTTTTATATTAACTACTGACCACAGGGCACTCCTTTGCTGTGCCAATTAAGACCTAAATGCTTAGATTTGTTCATTTGAAGGACAAAAGTTGAAATGTGAAAAAGTATACAAAATGTGCGTACACATAAAAAATGTCAACAAACTCTGTCATCCAAAAAATCAATAAACATATTTTGAAACAATGTTATTATATTAAATTATTTCCATTCAAACTGTTATCACACATTTGACACCAACTGATTAAATTTCATTCAGCACTTAAGATGTCAAATAAAACTTGACTTTTGGAACAGTGCCATAACCACTGGCACCATTCGGAGACTTACAGTAAATCGAACTTGTAAATGTATAAATCTTCAATCAAACTCCAAAATGATGTGGAGCCGCCATAAAAACAAGTCTGAAGGAAGCACTGCAGTTGAACCGATGGGTCCAGTGATATGGTCAGTCTTGGTCAGTGAAGAAGCAGTTGAAGGTTGAATATTTGGTCTCCACTGCCCCCAATACAAGCCTTTGTGTCTGGGATTGTCCTCTGGCTGCTGGTGCTATGCTGCCATTAGGTACTGATGGTAAAAGAGGCCAAAGAGGGAGGTGGAAAACAGACAGGCAGCAATCCACCAAGTGAAGAAGGAGAAAAGCCCTCGGAAAAGCAACGGGCTGAACACAGTCCTCAAGCCTCCCAAAGCAACAGACAGCTGAGCTACAGAGGCCCGAGCTCCAGTCTCTAACACAGAGTCCACTGAGGGTCCCATGGGGTCTGTGGCCACCGAAACAGCAGCACCAGAGTTCAAGTCATGGGTGCAAGGCAGCTCCTCTTCAGCGTAGACCCCCCACGAGTGTCCACCTGCATGAAGGTCAGAAGTCATATATAAATATTCCTACTCCTCCTCCTACTCCTCCTCCTAAGAATAATAATAATAATAATTTTCAAACTTACCCAAGGTTTTTAGCAGCAAAGTTGTATGTAGCAACATTATTAATGGTGCCACATACTGTAGTGCGATTACACACAAGTAGTAAAAAACACGCGCAACCTGAAAGAGTATCACAAATATGTTATACATTGTACAGATAAAAAAAAGATCAAATATTTAATGATCCAAGGCTTGAACCCCCTTATTCTTAAAAACTCAATCCTCCTGAAGCATTTGGCATATGGCACAGTATTGTTTAAAAAATACAACTCTTATTTGACTTTTCCAGTGCCTGGTGCATTATCTGCCAATGCAGCCATATCTAACAGTTATACTGTCTCCAGTCACCATCTTCTGCAGCTCCACAGTGCTGATGCGGCCCGCCTCCTTCTTCATCTGATCCACTCCCTTCTGGGCCAGGTTGAGGTAGGCCTGTAGATGGTGGCGCATCATAGCCAGCCGCAGAACACATAGGCCAATGATGGCCCAGAGCCTTAGAGTATCAAACGCCTGCTCAGTCATTCTGGTAACACAAATATTGTGTCAATCTATTTCTTATCTGAAGGCACTTATAAAGCATCATTGTATTTCTCCTAGACGTGTAGTTTAAAAAAAAAAAAAAAAAAAAAGTACTTACAAAGGCACACTCTCCTTTCCCAAAGTGGGGTTCATTATGTAGTCCTTAGTTATGGGCTTCACCCACAGTAAGACCATGATGAGAGGTGATAAGAAGTTGATATGAAGCAGAGTCCTAAAGACATTAGGAAATACATTGGTTATCCAATTAAGTATTTTATCATTTTACACAAGCAACTACCAACCAATGTAAATGAAGGTTTAAATGTCCTTTACTTGTACTCCATTTAATCCAATGAATGTTTCAACAATAGAAACGATGTATCCACATTTGGCATAGAAATACAATTAGTCTGAGAGAACTTACTGTGTAAATTTGTCATGAGTCAAATTGAGAGCATCCAGGTGCATCTGAGCCAATCGCAGACCAGGAAAAGTAAGAAAAGCTCCAATCAGAGAGCAGAGCAGAGCCAAGATAAGTTTAAAGGTGAGTTTAGATATGGGACCCCTGTGGAGAAGATACAGTTAAGGTTATTTCAAATATCAAGGAAATGTTGCAATGAAAACCTCAGAAATAAACTTACTGTGACTCCAAGCCCTGATGTTCCAAGAACCGGAGGGCACTGTCAGAAAAGTTTTCAAAACCTATATAACATGTAATTATTAGTTTTGAAAAACACTTCATTCATTCGTTCATTTGACCCTGATTTAACATTTAATGTTTATACCTGTTTCCAGACCAAACTCCAAGTAGTTTTCAGTGACTATGAGGATAGCCATAGCTTTGACAAAGAAGAAGAAACCAAATGTAATACAAAGAGAGCGCTCTCCTCCTTCTTCCAACTTGAAGTAATGTGCTGTGATTGAAAAGAGGGTTTTACTGGGAGTAGGTTAAGGCAAAAACTGATTTATTACACCAGACAATTTAGCATTACAGTAAGACTACTACACAATCATACTACTTTACACCTATGTCAGAGTAATATGGCTTCTTTTCTCAAATTAATGGATCCTGATTTTCTATTCCATTTTATTTCATGTCAATAAATATGTCCTTTAATGTTGATTTCAGGAACATAAACAATAAAACTTTAACTCAATGCCATTTGGTCACTGACAATTTGAAATGACTGAAACTCAATTTCAACTAAAATCCAATTAATTGTACAGTCCTAAACAAAGCTGCCGGTACCAGTCTCCATCTATACTGTACACCCTCTCATCTGCTGTCCAGTTTGTCCTCAGCTCCAGTCTCTGCACTTGGCTCAGAAAAGTGGGCCTTCAATCTCCAGTGTGGGCAGGAAATAACACGGCATGTGAGCGCATGGGGAGCTGGCCCGAGCAGGAGCCGTGCAAAGATAGATCCCTGGGGTTGGTGGTGAGGATAATGCATATTATTTAACCATCATTCAGCGTGGCAAATAGCAGGTAGCTGTGGACCATAAAGGTGCACGCTGCTAGTATGGGTCATTTTATAGCCTCTAACAGTTACTGCTGCATTTGCACAATCAACCTGGAATGACTTGGAGTCTCTTATGGATAAACAGATGTTAATAGATGACATAAAGCGAAGGGAACAGGCATATGAAAATAGAAATGTGAATGAAGGGCCAATCTTTTTATCTTTCCGGTCTATTCCAATGAGAAAAACAATACAACATATGATTTGAAATGATAAACACTTCATAAGCATGTCCAGATGTGATGCCAAGTAGAGACAGAATAAATTTGACTGCACTTCACTACAGTAACAGGAACATAATACAACCTAACTACAATGTGACCAAAACAATAAAAGATTAAAAACATAACAGAATTGCTTTCTGAAACCTTCCAAAACAAGGGCATGACAATTAAGCATTTATGATACATTTCCGATTCATGTTTAGTGTGATACTTGAAACCAAGACATTTAGAGACACATTTTAGTCCATTTCTAAATCTTTGTTATAATATAGTTTGAATATTATAAAATACTATAAAAACAATATAAGAGATTTATTTTTGTGTGAGCAGTGGCAGATGTAAGGATACATGACAAAGGCAAGTACGAGGAGGCACCACACCACACTGATGTTCATCTCTGCAGAGGGCTGGGCAAAGCTGTAGTACGCCTCTGTGATCAGATACACCAGAGTTGCCGCTAACGTGAAATCCACCAACCACTGGAATTCTGGAAAGTAATGCAACGCTACAGAGGAAGAGAAAGAGGCAATATTACTTAAACTCGTCAAAATACAGGAATACAGAGACTATTTATGTGACAAATATTGGGTTCTTACCTAATGTGTCCACTTCTGTGATACATTTAGTCTCCAGCTGCAAGTCTATGTCCTTTGGAACTGTTAGAGGCTTATTGTCGATATGACCATTATATTTCCTGAAGACAGAGGAATAATTCATTAATAAAAATTCCAAGCACTCAGTACATAATCATTGAGATCAAATAACATTTTATAGATGGACACTGTCAACATGTACAGAAGAGGCATAGAAAATTAGAATGTGTCACTTTTGGATATTCCAAATTGAAGTTTAAAGGACTCATCTAATAATGTTATTTACACCAAATAATGTTTTCAAGATGATTCAACAAAGCCCATGCAAGTTTTGCACAATATTATTATCATTATTGAACCAATATTCTTAGTTCTTCCCAATAATAGAGGAAACTATGGTCTGGTGTCTCCTATACTCTAAACACATCCTGGAATATACTGGCATAACAAAATCACACTTTGTTGGCCATTATTTTATCATTAACATTTAAAAGGGACTGGCAAAAAAGACAGTTAAAAGCTTTAAAATAGTGATATTTATTACTTCACAAATTATATGACATTAAATTATTCAAAAGAAAATAGTAATCTCCCCTGGAATATATGAGAAACTTCTACTACTTTGTTTGAACTTACACTTACACTGCCCTTTACCTCATCACTATAGTATCTGTAGCCAGGTCTTGATAATATGCACCAGGCACAATGGGCAGTAGCCATGCGGCGCTAACCCACTGGCAGCAGGCAAACACTGAGCTGTTCTTTGGGCCGGGGGAACAGTCTGGTAGGCCTCCCTGCTTTTGGAGGGCTTTGTTTGCTCAGCCCTGTGCACTGGCTGGATCCTCAGCACAATACCACACTGTAAGACTCTCTGGCCAAACATGCCCGGGACAGATTTCATCTTTGAAGCTCCTGACAGGCAGAGAAGGGGCTCAGCTTCACCCCTGACCGCGGGAGTCAGACGGCCAACAATGGGATCGGAGCCGCATGGCATGAGCTAGCAAAAGGGACACTGGTCCATCTTTCTCTTGGAGGGATTACTGAACATGTGGCACTGGAGAAACCTGACCTGCCTCATACCGGGTCAGAAGAAGGACTCGTAGAGCATATAAAAGAATAAGGATTATTTCAGTTGTTCTATTCATTTTTCATAAAAGGACAAAAGCAGAAAAAGCACTAAATTCATGTGTTCAACATATGGTTCAAATGTCCACCTGCAGCCACCCCTAAAAACTGGCTACCGTATTGAACGGCAAAATAAGTATAGCCAAAAAAAAAAAATCATTCCCCAGAATCAAAGTTTGACATCTGACAACTTTGAAGATATAATGCTGTTTGGGAAACTTTGATATGATAGTGCAGGAAAGCCTTTTAAACTGTCAGGCCCAAAATAGCCTAAATAGTATAGGCTCCAAAGGGAAAAAAGGACAAACTTCTCTTGAATTTCTAAGCCGAGTTGCAATGAAGCAGCGTAAAGGAGGCAAACAACAACAGCCAACTGGTGTCTTCTTACTTCAAACAGGCCTTAAATGAGCCACATAAACACATCAGCTTCATCTCCACACTGACATATCTGTGGTCTCCATCCATCGCCAGAGCCCGTGTCTCATCTTTTCTCTCCTCTCTGATGAAAGCCAGTACCTCCTCTGTGCCATAGCATTTTCCCAACCCCCAAACAATAGTCCTGCTTCTTTCCAGCCGCCCCCCCTTTACCTACCTGTCTTTCCTCTTCTGTCCTTTTTGTTTCCCTGCTAAGCTCCTCAACTCATCTTCCGTAGGGTGCTGATACCACCGCAGACTGAAGACAAAGAAAATACATGTGGGGTTATGGACATTCAAAGACAAATAGCATTAACCTACAACTCTGTATTAAATTAGTGCATAATTGGTATGCAGAAGATGTTGAGACATTTGTACAAAAGGGGCCTATTAATACAAAAGCTGCAATAGAAACTTGTGTGAAATTTGACTGAGCTTGATAATGCAGTCTAAATTAGCATGCATAAAAAATATAAATAAAAGTAATTAAAAGACTTAATTATTAGGATTGTTCCCAAGGCAATTAACATTTATTTTAAAATGAAAATAAAGTATAGCTTTAAAATGGTGAAAAGTCCTCAAAATCTCACCTATAACAGAAAGCTGAAACCCATGAATACTTTTATGTCACAGACATTTAAGTTCTCAATGCTACAAGTCAAAAGTTATAATACCTATATATTATTGTACCTAAACAAGCTGGATCTCTAAATATAGAATATTTTACTGCTGCAATAATTTTGGTCTATATATGTGTAGAAAGAGGGAGAAAAAATATTTATTTATTTTTAATAGAGGGGCATACATGAAGCAGAGTTTTAAAAAAGTATTTAGTAAACATTTCTTTGCTATACTCCTAAACTTGGGGCAAATCTTCACTTGCCTGGAAAGCAAACATTTTTTATTAATGCGCTGTTTACTTAAAACACGTGTGTGGCACTAATTAAGGGAAATTGGGTGATGTTGTTTATTTTTTGTGCCATCCCAGTGGGAAGACCCAGTTTCTGATAGCTTTTAGTCTTTGAAGGGGAACTTAACCATTCTTTTTTATCTTCTCCCCAACCCAGTTTAACATCCTGCCATCAAAACAAACAACCATTGTGCAGGACTATTTAATGTAAACAGCTCATCTCAGAACAAACTAAGAAAGAAAGCCCCGCACACGGAGGGAGGACAGAGGGCTGTGCATTACCTGCCACTGCAAAGTAGCCATCTTGCGAAGGAATAATGAGGTATGATTTTTTGAATTACACTGGCCATTACCATGGTAACCACCAGCTGCACACCAATCACACCCTGTGGGAAGAGAAGTGGAGTTCAGAATGACATTTAAATTATAATTAGAAATGACACAAAGCAGATCCTGTACACATTTACAGCTAATCTAACAGACTCCGATCAATTCTTAATAAATTCTATTTTATAATCATGTAAACAATATAACATAATGATTGTTGATACCAAACCAGATTTTTTTTGACATGCTTTTTAGGGCTGCACAATATTAATACATTACAAATGTATCACCAGGATCAGCCAGTGCCAGTCCCAAGAATTTGTAATAGTTAATATTAATTTAAAGCCTTACCAAAATAACATACTTCAAATATTTGACATAAGTTACATACAGTTTGTTATGCATATATAAATGTGATATTAACCATGACCACTAATCTTTATAACCTGAAATCTGTTATAAAGCCATTGCTAAATAACAGCCTCTTGCCGTGACCTCAGTGATTGCACTGAGTGAACAGCCAACACTCCTGGGGTAGTTACAGCAGCAGCACGAGGAGTTCAATATCAGGCAGCTCGCTTAGATCAATATTCACTTAAGCTTAAGGGGCCAGAATCACTTCCATCATGCCGGGCTTTTATCCACTCAGGTTAGCAGGAGGCTGTGGTTGGCCTATCCTTTTAACTAGCAGTGGGATCCATTGATATCTATCCCTGCAGGCACTTGAGCTTAAAGAGCCAATTAGCTCAATTAATCTCCAATAGAGCAAGTTTCATCGACATTTCAAGCTTAAATAAAAAGACTCAATAAAAAGAAAATGCACAAAACATTTTGCTAATTTGGCAGTTATTTAAAGGCACTCTCTAACATTTCTGATGCGGGTCTGCCACCTGCTTCAGGGTTTTATTGACAGAAAGTATTATCTCCATTGAGACAAGTGGTGAACCCTTTACCAAAGAAGTTACATAGTACCTTTAATTATGATTTGCTTAGATTCTTGCCCCATTAGCAACTATTTGGATCAGTTCTATGATCATTTGTTTCAAGTAACTTTATTGTATTTATGGGTTTCAAGCTATGGCAATGCAAGCTATGGCCATAGCAATTAAGCAATATGAAATATATTATATATTTTGAATTGGGAAAGATATAAAAACCTTCAAACCAGGAATGAACTGTTTGCCTGAAACACATGCATTTATTACATTTTCTAAAAACAACTCTGTCATGTCAAACCATATTGCCATGCCCTCTATGTATATGGGTCATTTGAGGCTTACTAAAATGGGCAACATATTCTGTGTCCAATACATATTTATTTATTAACAAATTATAAAAAAAAAATAAATAAAAAAATATTTAATGTAAACATCCTCTACAGCAGATATTTATTTTAGATTGCCATGCCACTCCATAAGGGCAAACGTTCAAATCAAGAGTGAATAATCATCTGAAGTTTGCCAATTTTTTCCTCTGCTCCAGTAGCTTAGTAAAAGTTATGGAAGTAGAGCCATCCACTTGAACCTGGCAGTGGTCACCATAAATGGGTCAGAAGCATATGTTCCAAGTTTGGTAGAAGCTGACCACTCTCAGCAGGGAACTTGCTCCAATCTACTTCCTGGGAGAAATTGAGCCAGCAGGATTCTCTTATCTGTACCAGTCTGCTTGACCCCCTTCCACTGAACAACCAAATGAAATCTGAAGCTGGAGAAAAGGAGCTGCGGTGTTAACTGATAACTGACCCCCACTATAGCGCGACAGTTTAACAATTACCTGTCTGTGACTTTACTTTGAAGGCATATATCAGAGCAAAGTGGACACTCAACACGGAAACGTGCAGAATCAGAAAATCTTACTTATACATTGTATTAACTACATGCATTTATAACAAAGTTCATGATTGTACAAAAAGCAATTATTCCACTTAATTTAAGACCAGTCACAGGTTTTTGATTTGCAAGACTTCAGTGTGTATAATTTTGTTATTACACAGTGGTTTATCCTCAAATAAAAAGATGAAGCTTTAGTTACTAAATACAGTGACAGCCAGGAAGATATTAGTAACCGTTTTCCAGATAATTATTTAAAGGGCAGACAAATATGACAGAGAATATGAGAGTAAAGCAGTAGTTATAACACCTTCATTACACGTGACCTCTGTTGGCATCCTGAGGTCACCTGAGGAGTAATAAAGGTGAACACACCTTGCCCAAACCCAAACTGCTACACTGATTAGCATGCGATGGTTAATATAACGCCTATTAGTATATCTCAGTCTATTTGGATCAATCTAAATAATGCAATACTGACTTCATCACTCAGATAAGAACACATACTTATTATTACTAACATATATCCACCTGCTCCATCCATTAGCAGATGTAGCATTAAAGCTAACCCATTCGGCTAGCAGGCTACAGTGCACTGACAGCTAAGCTAGCACCAAATCATCCCGAAAGAACTAATGCTAAAGATAAAAATATACAAAATAAACATCGAGTTGTCGTTACATGCTATACAGAAATGCGTGACCGATCAGAAGAGATGAGGTACCATAAAGTGTGCTCATTCCGCGGCTGTCTGTCTCACTCACCATGTTGATGCAGTGCAGCTGAAAAGGACTCTTCCCTGGCAACACCGAGCAGCCCTGATCGGGAATCTAGCGACGAGGAACCACATAAGCCCTTTGTGCGATGTTTACTAAATTAATGGGTTTCTCCTTCACCTTATCACCGTAACATGAAGATGTGTTACATCGTGAAAAATCAATGAACTCAGCCTCCGCACACTAGTGTTTTTAACTGCAGTAGAGGTCACGCTGAAACACTGGGGAAAAGGTGGCTAAAGATATGCCTGTTTATAAAATATAATAAAGTTATTTTTCTCTTAACTTTGCCTTTAAGTGAAATTAAATTATGACTTAAATGTGAATAATGTGTTAACAATGCATTTTGGGGAAATATCAACATATTTAAAACAACATAACAATGACAATGTTGCCAATTTTTTACAGGATTTTCTATAGGTGCAACAAGCAACTGCAAGGACCCTCTGGAAAAGAGCAAAAGAGAAAAGAGACCGCTCTCTGCTGTAGGTTTGTTTTAGTCATTTACACAGGCCTATGCCCCAGTTGGACACAAGCCTAATTGGAACGTTTTGGCCATATCTAGGTTTTTATACATTTGTAACCGGGTATCTCTATATGATTTTAAGACAACACACAATTACACATATTTCTTGCTACAAATGATAAATCAGTCGTCCCTAGTAGCTACAATGCATTTATCTTATATAGTGCCTTTTTACTCGGGTTGCTTCAACCATTTAATGAATAATCCATGCACTCATTCACACTTAGTTACTTCTTTATCAGCTTCTGTTTCACTGCATACAGCTGCCTTGGGCAGACTGACCAAGTGTGGCAGCTTATCTGTGCTTCCAAGCATGCATCAAGTCAGAGATTCATACAATGGTAAGGCGGGTTTACCTAATGGTCAGAAAGACTGAACCATAAATCATCTGATTTGTGAGCAACTGATCTACCTCCGCCACTGAACTCAAGTTGCCTGGACAATGATCAAAAAATATTACATGAACATGACTTCTTTGTACTAGTTGTCTTGCTTTACCCCCCCTTATTTGGCCATTCCAGTCTGGTGTGCTTCAGTTTAGTCTTTTTCTTTCTTTCTGTTTTTTTCTTTATTATTATTATTATTATTATTATTATTTTACACCATTTATGGCTATGTATTCACCTTATTACCTCTGTACTGGGGCTGTTTGCAGCCCAATACACCCTCCTCACAGACAGACCCCACCCCCTGCAACACACCGGCTCTCCATGGCACAAAGGCACATTAGCCTATATAATTGTCATTCAGAAAAAGTTCAAATTTCTCCAGTTATTAGTGCTGATAAAAGTGATGTGTCTACTGATTAAACAAAGTCACCAATAAGTACTATTAATTATGTACAAGGTCCTTATAAGGGTTACATGACATAGTTTCACAAATTTGGCTCCAGAGAGATTTTGGATGTGTGTCACTGTCTCTGCTGTTTCCACATCTCCCAGTGAGTGTCTTTTATTTATAATTGAAGGCAGTCTCGTACTGTACACTGTGCTCATAGCACTGCACTATCACTGATGTTGTTTGAACTCCGCTTCTCTGGAGTTTTTTTTTCTCTCTCTCTTATTATTCTCATTCATTGTAGTGCGTTCCTTTTAGTGGGGCTTGTTATTTTTAGATGAAACATAATAGTCAGAATTTTCAGTGCACTTGTGAGAGTTCCACATCCCTTCCTAGTGTTTAATCCATGTGACATCTCCTCAGTGTCGAATGCAGCTTTAGAGCTTCTTCTCAAGATCTACAATATAAATAAAGACAGTAGAAATATTACAGTGAGTTTTCAGCCTCGTCAATCAAAGGCTCATTCTTGAATGTCAATATCCATATTTAATGGCAGGGCTTTTTGTGCATATGTGTTAGTGTGCATTATACAGCATTTCTGTGCTTTTATTAATCAAACAGCAGTGTGAAATGTGTGTCACTGATCTCAACTGTATACCTTGGAGCAGTGGGAGAAAATAGAGGAAAAAATGTGTGTCAGCTCCTCACCAGTATATCCAGAATATAATTCTCTTTGGTGCAGTGCCGCCTGCTCCGCTCCTTCTGTAATCTACCAGAATGTAAATTACAATGCAAATACTTCTGAATAATTTATGTTAGTCTAGTGTTCCCTCACACAAACCAGGGGCTTTTGCTTAAATAGAGTACAATAGCATTGTGAACCCACATTATGTTAACTACAGCGTTGCACCATAGATCTTGTACCATGTAAAATCCATTTTCTACAGTTAAACACAGGTTAGACTTGAAGTAAGAATTATTAGACATTTGCACAAATGAAACAAGATTATGCAGAATTTTATGCCACTAATAAAATCTTAATAAGATATTAATACATTTGGATAATAATGTTCTACAAAACATACAACAAAATAACGATACTGTCACAAAGACAATAAAAGTAATACATCGCATACACACTCATGTAACACAGACACAGGCTTAAGAGATGACAGCGCCTCAGTTTGTGTCTGTCTGCTCCCTCTGTGCGTTTTCCATCAGCGATTGTAATTAAACCGCAGCATTCATGAGTAGCAGGCTCATTTAGGCTGCATCTGTTTTGGGCTCAGACGGCTTTAGAGCAATGGAGGGGCAAATTCTGGTGGAACACGGTGCCACTGCACTATTAGAACTAAAACACTGCGCACAGAATATCAACTAAAGAAAACTTTTCCTATTTTTGTCATTGCTTTGGTTGTATCACTCAAATGCATGTACCAAAAAATAAAGAGTAAAAGTATATTGAATCCCACAGAAGAATCACAGGTGACTTACAGAATACAAGGTTATACACCTTGACAGAAGGACAGTAGCTCACAAAATGATTGCTCGCATTCATTTTGCATTTGTTTTTGTCATTCTCATTTATATCAAAGGATTGGTCACATTGACTAAAATAAAAAGACAGAAGTGTAAATTTTGTTTCCATCTATGAAGCCGTTTGGGAACACAAAACTTTCAGAACCAAATTATTGCAACAGACATTTTGAACATCATTGTTCTAGCCTAGAAGAAATCTGCATTTTATTATACTACTTCCCACTATTGCCAATCTAAAAAATATTACTGTACAATGTCTGGCCTTGATTCAAATTGAGACTGATTTATCATATCAAAATTACTCTCCAGATTTGGTGTGTGCGTACATCAACACACACACACACACAGTGAGAATGAAATAAAGGCCGAGCAAGAGCGGGAGAGAGATAGAGAAGCTCATTATAATCAGGCAATTATGCTGGCAGAATTAGAAGCCTCCTTATTTTCTCTTGTGGCAGGGCGAGCTCCGAGACATTTTTGTGAGGGAACAGGAGTCTTTTTTGTGGATGTAACCAACTATTTTGTATAAATATGGACTAACATACATTACAGAATGATGCGGAGATAAATGCATGTGATTTTTTAAAAAATGTGAGCCGCCGAGCCCCCCCAAGGTTAGGGGCTTTCATTTGCATTGATGAGGATTTTTTTTTCAAGGTCTGCGGATTCGGCTGAGCGACATGGAGTGAGAAAATGGCTTGTATGGCAAATGCATGATTCTATAAATATTTGAAATGTTGAATTGTTGTATTTTTTCTTTATAGTTAATTATATGCAATTATTTGTAAGACCCAGTTTGTCCTTTGGTGGTCTTTGTCAATGTTGTGATTGTGATAAAAGGATTCATTCAGTGTCATTCAAAATACTGCAGCCTATAATAAACTTAAATATGAACATGGTCTCTTTTGTATTTAATTCCATAGGCAGACGCTTGTGGGACTGTGCAGCAATGTCATGTTCACACTAAAGACTTTGACCTCTGGGGGTCAAGGTTGTTTAGCCAGCATTTGACCTTTGAACCATAATATGTGTGATATAGACTGGTCAGCTAAAGGTCATTCATTGTTGTTAGTTCCTGGTCAAAATAATTTATGTATTTTTTGCTGGTGTATTTTTTTCCCAAAAGATATTACCAAAAAAAGAAAGAAAGAAAGAAAAGAAAATAAGCAAACAAAAAACTAAATGTTTTCATAAATGAGTGACTACATATGCTTATGATTTGATGCATTATAATTTATCCCATAAAACACCATGGAATGTTTAGATACTGAAAAGTCAAAAAATGCGTCCTGTGAAGTTTTGCAGAGATGTGCTTGTGTGTGGGTGAGGCAGGGCAGCTGATGCAGTTTTTAACATAACAAAGGCGTGGAGCATGTGAACTTGAGGCACCTTTCGACCCTGGTGCTGTGGCGCTGAATGGTGACTGGGCCTCCCCATAGAGCTCCCCCACAGTTCCCCTGATCGTGGCTAAATTGTTAATCAGGGTAATTTAATATAGTTTTCAATATGCCCCATCTTTCATCAGGATAGCAGTCGTTGTGTGCACTGCGTTCCCACCCGCAACAAAAGTCTTTTCCAAGGAGGACTGACAAGGGCATACTGCATCCTATTAAAATGTTTAAGTACAGGTCATAGGTTTTGTGTCTGTTTAAGTCTGAACAATAGGTAAATTACAAGTGTTAAATAAATATGTTTATTCAAATATTTTCAATATTTGATGAAAGCACATTATAGTGTTTTTGACATATCTTAATTTTTAGGTTTAGTGTAGAAATAAAACATGTTTTATGTCAGTTCAAATAAATATAAATTTAATATAAAAATGCAAGTTAAAGAGTAAATTATTAATGTGGTCGCATGTGGTTAAATCATTTTAGATCCAAGCGTTAATAGCATTTTGAGATGTGACCATAGGCTTCATCTGAAGTAGAAAAAGTGATTTGATACATTTGTTTTTGATACATCGACAGAAAGAACACATACTGTTGCTGTGAAATGCTGCATTAAATTTGAGTTCAAGTTGATGCATTCAATCATTTATTGTTATGATTTATTCTAAAACCTTTTCTGTGTTAAACCCTTGAAATCTGAAAGCAGCATTGTGGTATTTTCTATTTTGTTGAAAGAATAATTACGGAATTTAGAAACACAAAATCTGCCTAAAATGTGCGTACATATTGCACAATGCTCAGAAAACTCAGAAAATACACATTGGATGGTGTGATGAAGCTATCACCCATTTCCTATGACTTCATTTGACTTGGTTCATGAAGGACCACTAAAAAATCTGTTCTTGGACAGTGGACTCAGGAGCTTTAGAGTTTGTGCATGCGGAGGAGAGGTCTTATTCACATGATGTACAGG